CTGACATCGATCAAGGTGATAACTCCTTATTTTCTCAGATAATTCAACAACCCATGTCTCAATCTTATATGTCTTCTCTTTGAATTAAAGAGAGCATTTTTAACAACTTGGACAGCTGCTTGATTATCACAAAATAGGCTTAAAGAATTAATTTTTAGCCGAGTCAAAGGAATATTCATAATCAGATTCTTTATCCACTTTTCCTCTTCGCCGGCTAAGGCTAAAGCAAAAAGTTCTGATTCCATAAACGACAACGCAATACAAGTCTATCTTTTGGATTTCCAAGCAATAGTAGCTCCACCCAAAGTGAATACATATCCACTGGTGAACTTACTATTTCTGATTTCTGAACACCATGACGTATCAGAATATTACTCCACAATTGAAGGATAACCAGAATAGTGTAAAGCATAATCTTTAGTACCTTTAAGATATCGCATCAGCCTATCGAGGGCATCCCAATGCTCTTTACTAGGATTACTAGTGAAATGACTCAGCATGCCAACTGCAAAGGCTATGTCAGGTCTAATGCAACTTGCAGCATATATGAGACTACTAATTAGTTTTGAATACTTTAACTGATCCACATTGATCCCTTCATAAGGACTCAGTCTATTATTATAATCACATGGTGTCTCACTCAGTTTGCACTCACTGTATCCCCATGTAGAAAGTAGCTGCTCAATATAATGAGCCTGGCTAAGGGAGATAACTTGCCTATCAAAGCTTACTTTCATACCAAGAATGGTATTTGCAATACCAAGATCTTTCATGTCAAATTCTATAGCTAATTTAGCTTTCATGTCACTCACTACAGAATGATCAAAAACCAAGAATTAACATGTCATCCACTAGTTGTCTTTACATCCATTTCATGCACTACATAGTGTTCAATAGATGTCAAAGCAAGAAGAATTCTTATAGTTGATAGATAACACACAGGTGAGTCGACACCAAAATAGTCAACTTCACTTTGTTGTCTATAGCCTTTAGCTACAAAATGTGCTTTGTATCTGGCTATCGATCCATCACTATTCAGTTTCTTCTTCACTATCAACTTACAACCTATAGCCTTAGCCCCTTTCGACAAATTGACTAGCTGTCAAGTATGATTATGCAGCAAAGAACTCATTTCATCATCTATAGCTTCTTCCCATAGTAGAGATTCCCTAGATCTCATTGCTTCCTAACAGGAGAATGGATCATCCTCTAGATGGTAAGTGACAAAGTCCTCGCCAAAGTCTTTAGGAACTCCTCTCTCTTGTAGATACTCTAACTGGAACTGATTCAACAACCAGTTATGTGGGGTAAGTGTCAGAAGGGCTTGCTTCAGATTCTATAGGAGATTCTAAAATCATATCAGTAGATCCAGAAAGACTCAAGTCATGATCTTTGATAAACTTATTCTCAAAGAATTATGCATCTCTAGATTCTATCACCGTAGTTGTAAATATATCCAAAAATCTATTTGCAGCATTGTATTCTGCACTTCCTAGATATACACAAGTAATGGTTCTAGGTCCCACCTTATGTCTCTTAGGATCTTGTATTCTTACATAGGCAATGCATCCCCAAGTCTTAAGAGTATCATATATACAAGAGCGCTTATGCCATATCTCATAAGGAGTCATAGACAATTTAGAGTACGGCAACCTGTTCAGGATGTGATTGGCAGTTAGAACTGCTTCTCCCCAATAGGAGGAAGGCATGCCAGCTATAAGTAACATAGAGTTTAACATTTCAGTTAATGTCCTATTCTTGCGCTCAACAACACCATTTGATTAGGGTGAGTAAGGAGCAGTGGTTTCAAGTATTATGCCCTCCAAAGCGTAAAATTCCTTGAACCCTGTCATTGTGTACTCTCCTCCTCTATCACTCCTAAACCTCTTAATTTTCAAGTTGAGTTGATTTTCTACTCTTGACTTAAAAATCTAGAACCTTTCAAAAACTTCATCTTTCGATTTCAACAGATAGACATGACAATATCTAGAAAAATTGTCTATGAATGTTATTAAGTACTTCTGACCACCTCTAGTAATATAATTTCTAAAGTGACAAAGGTCAGAATGTATCAGATCAAGAAGTTGTGTGCTTTTAGAAACTGACTTAACAGGTTTTCTTGTGATCTTAGTTTGTGCACTTACTTCACATTTGTCAAATCAAATAAAAGCATTTAATGGAGTATCAAGAGTTTTAGCTAGATGTTGCATTTTCCTGTAGTTCACATGTCCAAGTCTATTATGTAACAACTTTGGATCAATCAAAGTTGAACTCACATGGTTTATGCTCACAGTATCTAAACTCAATCTATACATACCATTAATCATGAATGCACAACCAAAATAACAAGAGTTAACAAATAAAGTTACTCTACAATTCATAATTGAGAAAGGCATACAAGCTTTATCAAGCAAAGATACCAATTTCCTTTTAAGTAAAAGTACTACTCTAACTTGTTTTAGAGTTAGTAGTTTACTAGAAGAAAACACCAAATTTATAGTTGAGAAATACATATCATCTTTATCAAGCAAAGATATCAATTTCCTTTTAAGTAAAGGTACTACTCTAACTTATTTTAGAGTTAGTAATTTACTTGAAGAAAGCACCAAATTTGCAGTTCCAACATGAGTCACATCTGTCTCATTACCACTGCAATTTTCCACTGTATCTTTCACTTCTATGACCTTAGTGAGTAAATTCCTATCATTTGTAGTATGACAGGTAGCTCCGCTCTCCAACCACCACTCAGAAGAGACACTGCCCTTTCCATTCTTCATCATTCCAATGAAAGCTTGAGGCTCAGGTTCATTAGTTAACATATTAGCCTCATTTTGTGGTGTGTTGTTTTTTTTTTTAACTTATTTGGTAGCTTACACTCTGCTGCCCAGTGATCCCACTTTCCACAGTTATGGCACTTATCTTTCTTCTTCTTTTGAAGATAGTCTTTTTGGCCTCTAACTATGAAGAGGATTCACCTTTTGGTGACTTGGACTTCTTCTGAGGTTTATTGGAACGTGAAACTAAGTAGGCAATTAACTTTTATTGTCCTATTTGTTCCAAACTCTTCCTAGAATAGTTTTGATCCTAAATATGAATAAACCTCTTTAATTTATCCAGTTCACTTTGTTCTTTCAGTCTTGAAAGAACTCCATTCAGTAGGTAGTTTACTCAATGCAAGATCGACAAAAAGATTATCAGACATATCAGATTTATCATCTTTTAGCTTGTTCCTTATGTTCTCAAGTTTAATTAACTGAATTCGTATTAAATTTGAATTCAAAGAACTTCTCTGCTACGAGAGCTTTGGAGAGCCCCTCTTGTTTTGGAACTAAGTATTCAAGTGATTTCATATCTTTTTCATCGTCTTATATTTACTACAAGTCATAGCTAGATGAATATTTAGAGAATTTAACAAGTAATCCCTACAAAAATATCCATGTTTGTTCCGTTGATATTAATCCACAATTTTCAATGGTAAATGCAAAATCATTTAATACATTATGGAATATCTCATGTTCTTCCATGCCAAATTGAACATGTAATTTCCAACCATAAAATTCAATAACATCAAATGATTTCATTTCATAATATCATAGGAACTATATTTAGGCATTTTAATCAGAGCTAAGAGTTAGAAAGGGTGCACCTTATAGATCTCTCAGACTTCGCAAATTAAAGCAAAGACTTCCCAAAAACAGATTCGGAGCGCCCATAAACCTTAAGATGGACTACCCCTATTGTCAGAAACTCACCAGAACATTTTTTGATTTTTAAAATGTCCCCTGCATAATATTCCCCAACTAACAGAATATTCTCTCAGAATATTCTTTTTCGCATGAATATTCTTTTTCGCATAAAAGTGTACCTAAAACTTCAAACGGCCATATCTCCTTCGTCCGATCTCCGTTTAAGGCGAGTGACCACTCAAAACGATCGTCTCGACGAGTAGAACAAAACCCATTAGGTTTAACTTTCTGATAATGGCCGAAATTTTTGGGATCTGGACCGAAAAGTTGCGGCTCCAGTTTTTTCAAACTTAGATCCCGGTAAATCCTTCCGTCGAATCGCGAAAGTGATTTAAATTATGAGTTCCACTCGATGAGATCTTCGAATATACACCTTACTCGCTCAAATCAGACACACGAAGTTAATACTTCAAGATTGTTGGAGGCAAGGAAGCACGGATACTTGTAAAAACAGGGAGAGTCGTGTCCGACACGCTTCGGTGCTACATAGGTTGAAGATTATGTGTCGGAGTGTCGTGTTGTGTCGTGTCGTGTCACGTGTCGCATCGGTGCTACATAGGTTGAAGATTATGAGGTTGAGAGAGAAGGGTTTAGAGATGCTTGAAGTATTACACCAAGAACATCAAAGTTTGAAATGCTCAACGGTGTTACCTCCAGCTTAGGAAACCCTAGATATAATGCAAGCTATTTGGCTCCAGCCCATATTGACCCAAATAACCATGCTTTCACCTATTGGGCTTATATGTGAACATACTATTGGCTTATATTATTAATATACCCAACATTTTCATCTATCATTTTTAAGCGAAAGTAGAATTTCACTCAGCAGCCTGTCTCTTTATTACATAGAGTTCTACATCCCATATATATTATTTCACTGCTAAGTAGAAATCAAGAAAGCGAATAGGGAATAGATAAAAAAAGAAAAAAGGAAATATTTGTATATATAGGAAATAATGAATCTTTGCTTAAATGTAGAATTTTATTGGAAGAAATTTCACGTAGATATATAAAATGCAAAAGACTAGTGAGGCTGGATAGGAAGACGAGCAGCCTTCAAGTTCCAACCATCACAATAATAATAATAGTAATCAATTATGAACGAAATGTTCTTTGGCAAATTGGAAAGTGCCACAGAGGATACCAGAGTACAGAGTACACAGCATGATGAATAACGAATATAGCGAAATAGAACCTTATGACATACTTAACTCAAAGAGTTAATTAAACTATATATATGATGAAGTGGCCTACTTAAGCGCACACGAATCCCTCGGGGATTCCCTTTCCACAGTAATTGAGTAGCAAGGTCAAGCTGATTGGAACGTTGAGGTTAAGGCCCAGCAAGTTAGCTTTGAGAGCGGTGCAAAGGCACACAGCAGCTTCAAGATCAGCAAGACCCTCAATGAGGGAGCAGCATGGTGTCTTTGGTGGCTTCCCAAGCTGCACGTTCACCAAACCTAGCAGATCAACACACACTCCGAACTTAAGGGTGTCTTTGGGGCAACTTGGTTGCTTTGAAGAAGGTGGCCATGGGACAGGTGGGTGTTTGTGACCTTTGGGGGGTGGTGGACATGGGACATATGTGGAGCTAACCACAGTGAAGAAGAGAAGGTTGAGAAAAAGTAGAAGAGTAGCTTTGGAAGCCATTTCACCAAAGATGTTGAAAGTTACTAACTTTTAGAATGCTACTCTTACTTTGGTTTGGTGTGTGTGAGCAATGGAGTGGGAGAGGGTTTTATAGGGATGGATTGGTGAGTTTCTTTGCGTTTAAAGTTTTAATTAAATAATTTATTTATTTGGAGTACATGTGAGTGAGTGAGCCCATTGGGTGCAAGTTAGAATATCCAGCACAAGCTGGCAGATCAACTTGGTCGAAGAATTAAGTATGCTTGAAATCCGCGGAATGAAATAATATATAAATATAGGAGAAAGTGTATATCATTTTAAAGGACATAAAATTATGTCATTTTAAGTCAGAGAAAGTGTAATCATGGGAGAGAGAGTAAGGAAAAAAAATTTAAAGATGTGGGTCCCACCTCTTTGTGAAAGTAAAAGAATGTAAAATGTGTCATTTAAAATGATACATCTTTTTTCAATATATGTAAGTTTGGAATAAATCTTTGGTACTATTGTTGTACCAAAGATTCAGTGCATTCCATCAATGAAAATATTACAGGTCAGCTAAAATACTTTTTTTTTTGTCAAATTTTTTCTCCCTCATCTGATGTGTAAGGCTCTCATTCATAAAATGCACTGAATCTAGGTACAACAGTAGTACCAAAGATTTATTCGTAACTTTGGAAGCATCTCCTTTTGTAGTGTGGTTAGTTGTCAACTAGATGAAATCATTTCACGCATGCATGTTGTTCTGAAATTTTCGGTAGTTTGCCTAATATCAAACGAAATAAAGCTTAAGATATTGCAATTATTTGTCATTTTTCATCGATTATTTAAAACGAACTGACGAGGGCTAAAGATATATTGTTCTTATTACGCTGTATTTGTCTCGTACAGCTCAACTCCTGGTGTCGAATATGCAAGAAATTTCAACATACATCTCATTTGCGCTTTGCTTAACAAAGTTTTACACTCTCTATTACTCGTTATTTACCTTTTATCTCGTTAATGATCCCTACAAGACTACATGCATATATAAACGTGTCAGTTGAAGTGCCAAGATGTACAAGTAAAACATTCCCTAATTTCAGTTAAAAACACGGGCTTGTTATAGTTTGCCACTTTGCTGTTCATTTGAAAGCCTTTTGAACTAAAATGTGATTAATAATGTAGCTGAAGTCCGAAGACCATGCATGTGCTGATCATGTGAAAGCTGCAAAACAATTATCACTTAGCCTTAAAATGGAAAGTTGAAACCTGATATGGTTTGTCACTGATAGTAAACCGGTAATTGGAGTCAAGAGAAACTCACACATAAGGTCAAAAAACAATTTTGTACCTTTGCTCACTAACTTTTTAGAAAAATTAAGCTGACTCATGATATCAAAGATGTAGTCATAAAATATGATTCTTGCCGCAAATAAAGTTTGACCAAAGTTATATATATATGCTGAGTTATTGCCCCATCATTTTTCTAAATAAAGGTGAATTACTCAAACTGATCAGTGGATTATTCACAATAAAATTTTAAAAGACTTTTAAACGAAAAATTGTGTGTATATCCATATCCACACAAATGGCTCATTGTCTTCGCCTTGATTTCTTTGGACAATTTGCTTTATATTTTGAGGTCCCCGTCGATCGGGACATGTTAGAAAATGGAAAACGGGAACAGGGGACAATAACCCTCAGATTTCGGGCTAAAGATCAAAGCTCATATCCCTTTCGTAAGATTCAACCACGCTTCGGAGCTCCAGCTCTCACACCAATCGATATTAATATTGGGAGAACCTCGCACCCCAAAAGCTAATTTGTAAAGTAGGAGAATTCAAATTCTATATAAATCTTACATCAGAACTTTATCTTTCCGACGTGGAACTCCAAATATCATACCTTGCAATAGAATCATAGCAAAAGAATGGAGAGATAAGAATTTTAAGCAGGAAAGTACTCCATCCTCCAATATATACTTAGGGGTTTTCGTTTTTCCTGCAATTGAAAAAGAGGGAAGTAAGTTTCCTACAAATACAACATTTCGCAGGCCCACAATTTATGAAGCAAAAAAAAGTAGGCACGGAAAATGAATCTATGTAACATGGCATACTAACTTGTCTTGTAATATAACTCTTATAAAATTCATATACTTATAATAGAAGATAATATATATATATATATATATATATAGGGTAATATTTTTCACATGACACAACCAATTTTTCTACAGACACATAAAAGTGGGCCCATCAATTCTTTTACTTTTATTTTATTTTAAAAATAGTGGTCCTCACAATTGATTGTCTCTATGACATGACCTAAGAATTTTCCTGCAACATAATATTTGTTTTTCTCATATATATATATGGAAAAATATTTTTTTCATTCACTTAAGATAAGCTTATCTCCAGTCATCCTTTTTTCACTATGTATTTTCGAGAATATGTAATTAACGTTAAAGTTGCTTTTCTCTCACCATGTTAGCCAACAAGTTATGAAAAGTGACCGAAGAGAGAAGGGAAAAAAACAACTTTAACGTTATAACTATGTATTTTCGGGAATACATAATTAAAAAAAGTGGCTGGAGATAAGCTTATCTCTAGTGGCTAGAGAAATGTTAATCTCATATATATAATGAGTTATATTTATCTCATTTTGCATTAAAGAAATAAATTTTCAGCACACACAAAAGATAGGTGGGTCTCACCTCTATTTTTTCTCTCTCCTCTTACATGTGGGCCCCACTTATAACTTTGTTTTTACTACATGAAATAACTTTTTTCCTACAACATAAGAAAATTATTTCTCATATATAATATATGTTGGATTTATGTATCTAACTAACATATGTGAGCCTTATGCTATTATTAAAAATTTTAAAGTAAAATTAGTTGATTACTTAAACGCATTCATTAATTAACCTGGTCATTAATGTTTTTTCCATATATGAAACCGTTTGAAAATATCATAGGACCTTGGACCTAAAATTGCCATGAAAATAAAAGTGACTTTGTAGTGCGCACGAAATAGCAAATTATTTATCTAGCTATCTTTATATATATATATATATATATATATATATATATATATATATATATATATATATATATATATATATAAAGCCGTTGCCTTTATAATCGTACTAAAGTTAATATATTATGACTTTTTTTATTATTGCAAGTGTTTTATTGTATTAAATTTTTAAAAATTTAAAATTCCAAAAATTAAAAAAAAAATGAAAATAAAAAAAATACTTCTTAATTTGAGTTTCTGAAATTAGTTAAATTCAACCAATCTATTCGTAATTATTAGAGAATTTCATATTCGTTGGAACATATTTCTCACGTAAAATTAGTTAAATTTTCAGTTCTATTTAACACTCTTTTCATCCCTCTTCTTTTTTTATCCCTCTTCTTTATATGAAAGATTTTGGGAAACCATCCATTTTAATCTTTCAAAGGATTCAAAATTTAAAAAAGAACAAAGGACTTGAAGAATAGTTTTACTCAACAGCCGCTGCCTCTTTATTACTTAGAATTTTACAGCAGATATATTTACCCTTTCACTGCTTAAATGGAAATTAAGAAAGGTAATATATAGGAGAAAGAAAGGAAAAATGATTGATAGAGGAAATAATGAATCTTTGCTTAAACTTATAATTTTATTAGTAGAAATTTCTCTTAGATGGAATACAAAACACTGGTGGTGAGGCTGGGGAGGAAGACAAGAAGTCTTCAAGTTCCAACCATCACAATAATAATAATAATCAAATACGAAGGAAATGTTGTTTGGCAAAATGGAACGTGCCAGAGAGGATAGCAAAGTACAAAGTACAAAGCACGGTGAACAACGAACATGGCAAAATAGAACCTTATGACATACTTATTAAACTTGAAGAAACTATATATTATACGATGAAGTGCCCTATTTAAGCACACACGAATCCCTCGGGGATTCCCTTTCCACAGTAATTGAGTAGCAATGTCAAGCTGATTGGAACATTGAGGTTGAGACCCAGCAAGTTAGCTTTGAGAGCGGTGCAAAGGCACACAGCAGCTTCAAGATCAGCAAGACCCTCAACGAGGGAGCAACATGGTGTCTTTGGTGGCTTTCCAAGCTGCACGTTCACCAAACCCAACAGATCAACACACACTCCGAACTTAAGGGTGTCTTTGGGGCAACTTGGTTGCTTTGAAGAAGGTGGCTTTGGGACAGGTGGGTGTTTGTGACCTTTGGGGGGTGGAGGACATGGAACATAGGTGGAGCTAACCACAGTGAAGAAGAGGAGATTGAGAGATAGGAGAAGAGCAGTCTTGGAAGCCATTTCACCAAAGATGTTAAAAGTTACTAACTTTAAAATGCTACTTTGATTTGGTGTGTGTGAGGGATGGATTTAGAGAGGAATAAGATGGGGTTTTTATAGGGAGGGATTGGTGAGTTTCTTAGTGTTTGAAGGTTTAATTAAATAATTTATTTATTTGGAGTACATGTGAATGAGTGAGCCCATTGGATGGAAATTGGAATAGCCAACACAAGCTGGCAGATCAACTTGGACGAAGGAAATATGCTTTAATTTAAATGTGCGGGAATATATATTTACATATGTGTACATCCAATCCAATCACAGTTAGAATAGACCAGTCAATCCAGCATTCCTAAGTCAACATGATTGATACTTTCATCTTTTGCTACTTTCCGGTTTTTAGATGGGAGCTCTTTCACTTGTGTGTTTTCCATGCATGTTATAGTAGAGATCACTTCACATTGGGCAAAAAAATTAAAATAATGTAATTAATTAAAATAATTACGCATTTAATGCTGTTTTGTTAAAAATTACACATCTGTTGCACAATGAGACGCCCTCTTTGGGCGTCACATGTGACGCCCCAGTGAGGCGTCTCTCCCTTGGAGAAGACGCCCCATTGGGGCGTCACATGTGACGCCCAAAGGGGGCGTCTCATGTGCAACCTATATATACCCCACTTTCCACCCCATCTCGTTAGTTTTCAATTTTCACGAAACACCGGTTTGATCGCCCTTACGCGCTACGGACAACCTTGATCGTACGCACAACATTTCATGGATAACTTTGCAGGCGTGCTCTCAATTACAATGGCTTCTTGATGCTCTCTAATAAGGTTGTGCTTAAGTGTCATTTGGACATCTTTTTTTGTCGCAAATTCCACTACTAGAAAAATCCTGTATTGCGAGGGAATTGGTATGAAAATTTCGTCGCTAATTTCATCCTCGCTACTACTTTCCCTCACAAATTCCCTCACAAACGATTTTGCGAGGGAAAGTAGTAGCGAGGATGAAATTAGCGACGAAATTTGCATAGCAATTCCCTCGCTATACAGGATTTTTCTTAATTGACAAATAACATGTCACCCAGTTGCCACGGACCTTGTATTGAAGCCGATCCAGACACCGAACCATCAGTACATGATTCTTGTTCGCTCTGATAACTCCAATCAATGTAAGAATAATGCGGAATTCATTCCCAAAAAGGAATAACATCTGTGTCACCTGCAATTGCGGATTATAATTTTTTAATACGAACTTACTATTTCAGGTATTAAATCAGTTATTTATTCACGCATTATACAAATGAGATCAATTACCTTCTTGTGGAATACCAAACGGAGCAGACGCAACGTCATTCAACTGCGGCATTTGCGCGACGACTGGTTGATGGAATATTGGGATTTCAGACGCACCCATCTCACGAGATTCATCTCCGTCTGAAGCACTAGCATCCTCCGCCAGAAGATGTTCTTCCATTGCCATATTTTCATCGTCGTCATCGTCATCTTCGTCGTGCATTTCCCAAGTCGGATCATTTTCATCTCCCTCAGAAAAGTTACCAACTGAAGACGCATGAGCGGCAAGAGAAGCTGGAAGACGGAGAGAATTTAAATAAACTGACCTCACCGGTATGAGAGCATTCTCGGTTGCGACGATGTCGACATACAACTCTAGAAAATCTGTCCTTGACTGGTTGCAAAATTCTTCCATTGTCATCTCCAAGTCTTCATCGTCAAGCACTTTCAAACTAATGTATTTATCACTTTGCCACACCCTTGTCGTGATCTCAGTGATACATTGGTTGTCTTGAAGACTTAACTTCTGCCGAATTCTCTGATGCAGTTCGCCAATGGTTGTGTTGCGTTGGATACGTGTCGGCCTTTTTTCACCTTCGAATATGACACCTCGTCGACCTTCTACATTCCTACCATTGTAATATAACACAACACGAACATAATCAGGATTTGAACTCATTTTTAAATAGAATTAGAACTAAAATTCAAATACTAAATTAAAGATAAAGGAATGTTGGTGGAGAAGAGAGATATGAAGAGTGAGAGAAGAGGTGTGAATTGAATGGAGGGGGTGGGGAAATATATAGAGCACACATGTGACGCCCAAAAGTGGCGTCACATTGTGCAGTAGATGTGTAATTTTTTACAAAACAACATTAAATGCGTAATTATTTAATTTAAATACATTATTTTAATTTTTTTTGCCCTTCACATTGGTATAAGATTTTAAGATTTGTATATCATTTAATAATTTTATATACAATATATATTTTTATCGATCCAACTGTCAAATTATAACTATCCATTAGCTTGATTATTTAAACAAAATGCTGCAAAAATTTAACTGCAATAATTCAAAAATAATCAAACTATTTTTGCTTTCATATTTTTCAAAATTATATATCACTTTAATTTTATATATATTAACGAAGAATACTAAATAATTTAATATTATTATAAAATTTTATAAATATGATATGAAAACTTGTATTCAATGACTGATTTTAAGATAAAATAAAATTTTATTTTAATAGTGTAAGAGTGATTTTAACTTACATCCGTGTGTGTATATATATATATATATATATATATATATATATATATATATATATATATATATATATATGGAGCATGTTATACTTACAAACTTTTTTGTTTACAAACTCTTGTAAACTACACTAAGTACGACCGGTCATACTTTAATCATGCAGTGTACGACTGATCGTATTGTAAACGGATCTTATCTCATATATATATATATATATATATATATATATATAGGCAAAATGATTTCTGCAGCCGCTGCACCTACAGCTAGCCAGGATCCGCGTGCGGATCCTAGGATACGGCACCGGATCCTTTTTTTTTAAAAAAAAACGTCGTGGGGCCCACTTTTCTGTGTCAGCTGTAGAGAATGTTATCTACGGCGGCTGCAGAAATGATAAGCCCATATATATATATATATATATATATATATATATATATATATATATATATATACTTCTATTTTTCTGCAAACGCTTTACGTGTAGTAGAGACAAATTTTTCATATATATAGGTTAAAATATTTAATGTAGGGAATTATAATCATACAAAAGATGAAAGCATGTGGAGAATCATAATCATACACTTGTCATTGCTGCACGTATAACAACTTTGGATATGATTTTACCATTTATATATATATATATATATATATATATATATATATATATATATATAAAAGTTTAAAGGGATAGGATCCGTTTATAAATTTTTTTTGCAAATTACACTAAGTACGACCAGTCGTACACTGCATGATTAAAGTATGACCCGGTCGTATTTAGTGTAGTTTATAAGAGTTTGTAAATATAACATGTCCCTGCAAGTTTAAAACCATCTTCTTGTTTGTTTTCAAATATTCGATGAAATCATTTCATGCATATCGTTCTAAAATTTTCATTTGTTTGCCTTATTTCAAAAGAAATAAAGCATAAGATATTACGAGTAATTGTCATTTTTCATCTATTATTGAAAACGAATACACGAGGGCTCAAGATTGTTCTTATTACTCTGTATTTGTCTCTTACAGCTCATCTCCCGGTGTCGAATATGCAAGAAAAATCCAACAATATCTGATTCACGCTTAGCTTAAGTGCTGAACAAAATTCTTTACTATTCTTTATTTTATATTTACCTTTTTATAATCGCAACATATACATGTCAGCTGAAGAGCGAAGATGTACAAGTAAAATATTTCCTGAGCCCGGTCAAAAACACGGGATTGCAATATTTGGTGTTATTTGAAAGCTTTTGAACTAAAATGTGATTAACAATGCAGCAGAAGTCCATCTGAAGGCCATGTGCTGATCATGTGAAAGCTGCAAAACAATTATCACTTAGCCTTAAAATGGAAACTTCAAACCTGATATGGTCAGTCACTGATAGTAAACCGGTAAAGGTAAAAAAATGATACCTATACTTAATAATTTAGCTTTATGGAAAAATTAACCTGGGGTAAAGTGTGTGTCATTTTAAAGGACGTAAAGTTGTGTCATTTTAAGAGAGAAAGAGATAAATAAAGAAAAAAAAAAGAGTTGACAAAAAAAATTAAAGGTATGGGTCCCACCTCTTTGTGAGAGTGAAAAAATATAAATTGTATCATTTAAAAAGATAAACACTTTTTTTCGTTAACCTGACACCAGTAGACATGTAATCATAAAGATTTGATTCTTTGCCGCAGATAAAGTTCGACCATATGTGTTCAATTATTGCCTCATCATTTTTTAAAATAAAATGAGAATTACTCTACGATTAATTGATTAATGCATTATTTACACGTCAAATTTAAAAGACGCTTATGAAAATACAAAATCTCTCTCAACACACATACGTGTGTATGTGTATAAGTTTACTTTTTATTTTTATTTTATTTTTTGGATTATTACATGTTCAGTATCTTATGTCACCGTAGGTCCGTAGTGTTGGGTTAAGGAGATTGGTTCGGAGCAACTTCTATTTGTGAAAATGAAGTAAACCTCTCACAAGATAGAAAAAATAATGAAGTACACAAAAGCATACATAGAGAACAAAAAATAATTTTTAAATGTCAAAAACCCCTCAATGTGAAGAGTAAAAATCACAAGACCAATAAGTCCACGAAAACTTCTATTATGTCAGTAGGATTACAAAGATGATCTCTCTAGTGCAAGAGAAGAGGTTAATTTGCACACAAATACTTCATCCACTAAGGATGATTTACAATAATTTTATCTCTCATCTTTGTGGTGGAACTCTATTTCTCTCTAGAAGGAACTCTCTCAAATGTTTGCTTGATAAATATAAATAAATTATAAACATAATATAAGTAAAATTAAAATTTCCAGCAGTGATAATATGTTTCAGCAAAGAATTTTATTTATGCATCAATAAAAATTAAATTTTCTATTGACGTCTAAGCATGAAATTTTCAATATTTAAAAAATTATATTAAAACATATAAATGTAAAAATTTATAAATATAAAATAAATTATAAACATAATATAAGTAAAAATAAAATTTTCAGCA